ACAGAGCACAGAAGACGACAGAATTATTTCTATGGTTAACAGAAAACAACTTCAGAACATCTAAATCACTGTTGAGGAGGCAGGTGGTGTAAGAAGACGCTTCCTGAGTGAAAATATGGAGCGTTTACCACAAACATCTGATTACACTCAAAAACACAAACATCCATAAGGGCCGCGAGGCTCACGAGGAAAAAGCAGATTCATTGAATCCATGACCTGATTACAGCTTTATCTGTCAGACATGGTGCAGGAATGTTATGATATGGCCATGCGTGGCTGCCGAAGGTCACAGGTCACCGGTGTTTATCGATAGAGGGGTACAGAGCTACGTCTCTGCTCAGCTTCAGCCAAGTGTTGCAAAACTGATTTGCTGTGAAGAAGCACTGTATTGATTATAATGATTGATTATAATCAATAATGACCCAAAGCGCACTGCAAACAGCAAACCAACAGCTTCTCCAGGTAAACAGATGGGACAGTGCAATGGCCAAGTCAGTCACATGACAAAGAAACCATCCAAACGTGTTTGTAAAACTGAGTCACAACTGAAAGTCTGCACTCTGATCACTTCTTCAGGCCCAGAAACCTCTGCGCCTCTCTGCATCTGCTGCGTTTCCACTTCCTCCGGTCTTGCCCGTCTCCATGATTTGTCTTTTGTCTTTTTGTCCTGTAGCGTCTTTTCTCATGTGTTGCTTTGTGTCTGACGTCCTTCATAAAAAGAGAAAAGGAGCTGCTGTGCTGTGGAGTCTGACTGTACAAGTCAGCTAAACATGGTCACTGTTGTTTACCTCCACGCAGTCAGGACCAGATGAAAACCAGCGTGACATGTGACTGTGCTGAAACATGTCGGTCATCCGAGGATGCGATGTAAAGACTTCATGTATAGACAAACTGGTTTCATTCCTGTCAGCAAAGCCAAAGGGAAGTTTGTTGGAAACAAGAGAAGCATCAGCTGACTCCATACGCTTCATTACATACATGCAGTGCACTTCCTTAATCCACTAAATATTCACCGACTGTTCTGGTCAAAATCAGACGATAAATCTCGTTTTAAAGGGTTTTCAAAACAGAAGATAAAGACATGATGGCCACATAACATGGATGTAGAGGCCTAATCTGTGCTTTCTGCTTACAGACATGCTCAATCGACACAGCGACGCATCGCTAACTAAGAACCTCTGACCGTCTTTCATGTTTGCATGAACAAAAAGCTCAAATCAAGATTATCATCAGGAAGTAAATCTGAAAGAAAACACTGGAAACAAACTACAAAAATGCAAAATGTCAGTGACTCTGATGATCCCAATCCAGAAACATGAAGGTGGTCCAAACGGGCCTGTGTGACACACCGATGCATCGCTAGTTAGCTTCTTCAAACGAGTAATAAAGCCCGAATGAACAAATCTGG